CCCCCCCCCCCCCGCCGGCGAGCAGCAACGGGTGGGCTGCTATTTGCTCCCCCTCTCCCCCCCCCCGTTGGTTGTTGCTGCTGCCTGCGCACGTGGCCACCTGCATTGCCACGTGGCAACTTACTGTGGACTTGAAGACCCCTTTTTTCAGGGGCTGCTCTATAGTGGTGAGGGTCTGTTCACACAACAGACCCTAGATCTGCAGATCTGCAGAACTGCTGCTGCTGGGGGCTGATCAAGATCTCAGCCCCCCTCTCTCCTCCAGCTGGCTGCTGCAGCAAAGGCCAAGACCCTCCTGGTCTTGGTGTACCTTGTGCCCTTGGAGACACCAAGGGTCAGATATCTCTTCTCTCTCTCTCCTTCCTCTACTAACTCACACTCCCTACCTCTCCTCTCTCCTCTTACTCACCCCTTCTCTTTCCCCCACCTTCTACTGCATCTTTTCTCTCCTCCTTTTACCTTCCCCACCCCACCTTTCTCCCACCACCCATTCTTTTACTCTTTATTTCTTTTTTTTTCTTTCCTCCTTCTTTTCTCTTTGCTTCTTGATCCCTGTCCACCTTTCCCCATCCCTCCTCTCTCCCAACTACCACCACACCACCCCCCTACCTCCCACTTCATCTTTTTCTCTCTCCCACCTATTTCTTTCTTTTCTCCCCTTCCCCCCTACTTCGAATTTTTTTCTGTTTTTCTTTCTTCCACCTCTCTTTTGATTTATCTTTTTTCTTTTTTCAAAAATTCGAATTATCTCCTCCCCCACTTTCTTTTCTCATTTTCTGATTTATTTCATTTATTTTTCTATTTATTCTGAAAATTCGATTTTCTTTATGACAACCCTAAATTTGAGTAGGTGTTAGTCTTTCTTGCTTTTGGCACACGTTTTGACCGCGTGGGGGTAACGAAATGCAGCCGAAATTTTCTGATTTTCTCTCACTTCGTCCTTTTTCGGCACACTTCGACCCCATGGGGATAACGAAATGCTGCCAAAAGTTTTGAAAAATCAGCTACCCCATCTCTTTCCACCTCCTCACCCACTTATTTACTTATTTATTTATTTATTTATTATTTCTTCATTTATTTTCTGAATTTTTTTTATTTGCGGCAGTTTGAAACCTAGTGTGCTTATCTCGGTCTCTCCTTTCCCCTTGGCACATTCTTGACCCCATGGGGGGTAGGGAAATGCTGCCGAGAATTTCAAAAAAATAAATATTATTTTTCTTTTCACATTTTGTTTACTTCTTCTCTTAATTATTTTTATTATTTATTTTCTTTTGTTTTTCTCTTAAAATCTTGTTGTTTATTTATTTTTCTCCCGCCTCCCCCCCCTATGCTTGCTATTTTATTTTCTTGATTAGGTCACTGGTACCCTACCCTAACCACTTAAACTTCGGTTAGGGTTTTCTTTGGGTTTCTCTAGGGTTGAGGGTTCTTCAAAACCCCCCTACTTCCCCTTCCTCTTCGGGCACCTTGGACCCGAACCACCCCTCCCCCTTTGACGGCGCCCGCGCTAGCCTTGCTAGCACCGTCAGCCACTTTCTACCGCGGACCCCCCCCTCGCCCTCCGCTCACGCGGACCTCTTCTGGCCCCCTCCAGTCCGGCCCGTCACCTCCCCATGGCCGACGGTGTGTCACACGCCGCCGATGCGGCGACGACCACGGCATCGGGCTCCACACCCGTGCCGGCGGACCAGGGCCATCATCCCCAGTGGCGACCCTTGCCGCCGGCATGCAACAACTCCAGGACGCTGCCTGCCCGTCATCTCCTGGCTCCCAGTCTGGGTCCCTCGTCCTCCGACAGGGTGGCCACGGCGGAGCTTCCTCCTCCGCCGCCCCCGACCCGGCCATCTTGGTGACTGTCCACACCCCTAGCACGACGGCGGCCACGAGCCAGACCCTCCCTCAGTCTACGGGCGCACCCGTCCAGATCCCGGTCACAACGGCCACGATACAACAACCTGCTACCATGGTCTCAGCTTTTCCGGGTGCCCCGCTTCTCCCTCCCCTTCGCACGACCGCAGCACCACCTGGCTCTCCCCCCTCTGGGATGCCCCGCGCTGCTCGTGCGTCCACTTCCCCCACTCTTCCTCCTGCTACCCCTCGCATGACCTACGTTCGAGTTCTCGAGGACGAAATTGCCCAGCTCTGGGCCGACCTCGCCCTCTCACGCCTTCAGCCTCCCCCACCCTCACAGGTGGCCGCGCCTTCCGGCGCACCCCCTTCTTCCTCTACTCTTCCTTCCATGCAGGCTCGCTTCCCTCGCCCTGCACCCTACCCATCCCCATCCTACCTCCTCCCCATCCCCTCGGTTGCTGCGACCTCTTCTACCGCAGCTCCCGTGCAGCCTGCCGCTGTTTCCCCCGCCGCTCCACCATGCGGCCCGGACGTACAGTCAGTTGCGCCCCCTCCTCCAGGACCTGCGCCGACTTATTCAGCCGTAGCGCAGTTCCCTGCTTCCCGTTCTCCTCGCCGCCAAAATGGTGGCGGACCACTCGTCCGCTTGACGGACATTGCCTTGTATGATGGTACAGACATACGCGTGTCTCGGTGGCTACAGTCTACCACCCGCACGCTCCAGCTCATAGGTGCCGCTCCCGACACGTGGGTGGCTCACCTCTCCACGAGACTGCGTGGCGGTCCTTCCGATGCCTGGGAGGATTTTTACGCTTACTCCGTTCGTGCGGGTCGGACTCCGACCTTCATGGATTTCCAGGCGTTGCTCGAGGATCGCTTCGGAGCCTGATATGACGTGACTGACGCCTTCGAGCGTGTCGTCACTACACGCTGGTCCGGCTCTGGTGGCGCTGCCGGCCTGGATCGCCACATCCAAGTCTTTCAGGACGCCCGCCTCATTTGTGACATGGCGTTCCTCCCCGAGGCGGCCCTTATCGATCGTTTCTTGGCCAGCCTTCCGCTCGAGTACCGCTCTGAGCTATGGCGGTACGAGTTCACATCGGCCCCGCAAGCTTACGAGGCYGTCAGGGACCATCAGCGGATGCGGGCCCGTCTTCACCCCGCCTCCTCCTCTCAGCCGCAACGTACAGGTTACGCCTCCTCCTCCTCTCACACCACTTCCAAGCGTCGTTCCCCTTTCCGTGGTCGCCCCCGCTGTTTCGCGCAGCAGGGCCGCCACTTCTCGCGCCGCTTCAGCACGCTCGAGTATATGGTGAGTAGGACGCTGGTGCCCCGCTGTCGCCAGAGGGTGACCATAGCGACGACCTCGACCTCGGTGAGGCCGTCCACCACCACCTAGAGGACCCTACTCTCCTTATGGCTGAGCGCCTCCAGCTCATCCTCTCCACCCTTTCCCAGGCACGCAGCCGCCCTGGTCACGCTGGCGCGTCGCCCCCCGAGGTCCCTCAGCAGGACCTCCCCCAGGGCTTTATCCCTCCTCGCGGTGTCCTTTCCGCTGAGGAGCGCGCGACTATTTTGGGCCGACGTGGGTGTTTGCGCTGCCGCTTGGACGGTCGTACCTCCTCGCGGTGCCCTTATACCACCGCCCTTGACCGCCACTACGCTGACCTTTCCCGCGAGCGTCGTGCTCAGTCCCCCCCCGGCGCCTCACATCCCCGTGGCCCCTTCTAGCCACGGTGCAGTGTACACCTGCGCCCTCCTCAGTAGAGGGTTTCCCGACATCTCCGTCGCGGTTCGCCCCTCTCGCTACTGGAGCTGAGGTATCGCAGGACTCGACAGAGTGTACTCAGCCCTCTGTTGCAGTACCGTCTGTGCCTCCGCAGACCACCGTCTCCCCTACTTCCCCGTCGTGACTACCGACGCGTCGAGCCATTCGCTCAGCCCGTTGCAGCGAGCAGCTTGCTACTCGCAAGGACATTGTGTCCTCTCTTGTGGACTTGAGCATGCTCCAGGCTCGTCAAGAGCGACTCACCCTCCATGTCGCTGCACTGCGTCGCCTTCTCGCCATCCTCTCTGACCCTGATCGCACCCTCCCGATCATCCCAGTACGACTTGGGACCTCCACGAGGGTGTACTCARCGCTGTGGGATTCCGGTTCTCAGGGCGACTTCATTCACCCACGCGTGGTGAARGAAGCCCGCTTACCCACGACAGGGTCTCCGACTCCCATCTCCGTCACCCTAGGGGATGACAAGACCCAGCGCTTCTTCGATCAGACGTTCACCGACCTCCCTTTCTTCCTCACTCTCGAGCCGACTAATCGTCCCCCGGCGTCTCGTCGCCACCGCTCCTCTGCACATTTCGATGTGATGGAGACGGGGTACGACTTCATTCTCGGCACTCCGTGGTCTCGTCGGTTCCGCAGCACCGAGGCCAATTGGGCGACCAACACTCTCGTTCTCAAAACGAAGTGTGGACAGACATATCGCGTACCTTTCATAGGTACCACTGCGACACCACGCCCCGATTCTTCTCCCCCAGAGCCTTCCGTGCCCACACCATCTCCTTCTATCACTGTCACCTCGCCTCGGCAGTTCGCCCACTTCATCCGACAGGACGACGTCACCTTCTTTATGGTGAACATGACGGATCTCTTACACTATGATCCACCCTGTCCCGACGCCGAGCTCATCCCTCTGGAGCCAGATACTCCTTCTATCTCCATGACTCCCATCTCTACTTCCGTCCCTCCGCCGCCCGTCGAGTCCACCCCGCCGTCGTGCGTTGACGCTGACGCTGAGGAACTCGCACGATATACGGCCGACCTGAAGCCCGCAGTTCGTGACCTTATTCGAGAGTACCACAACATTTTCCCATCGTCGTTCTCGTACGCTTGCATCCCACCGATGCGCGACGTCGAGCACTCCATCCAGCTTGTGCCTGACTATCGTGTTCACCACCAGGCACCCTACAGACTCTCGATCCCCGAGGCCACCGGACTCAAGCGTCAGCTTGAGGAGCTCCTGAGACTGGGTTTCATTAAAAGCAGCAACTCCTCGTGGGGTGCACCCGTCCTTTTTGCTCGCAAAGCGGATGAAACTCTTCGTCTCTGCATCGACTATCGCGGTTTTAACCGCTACACGGTTAAGAACAACTACCCCATGCCTCGTTCCGATGAGCTGTTCGACCCCCTGGAAGGCAACCGCTTCTTTACGAAGATTGATCTTCATAGCGGTTACCATCAGATCCGCGTCGCTGCAGCCGACCAGCCGAAGACCGCGTTCCGATCGCGATTCGGCCACTACGAGTTCACGGAGATGCCATTCGGCCTCACCAACGCACCCGCTACCTTTCAGAGGGCGATGAACGACATCTTCAGGGACATCTTGGAGCAGTACGTTCTCGTCTACCTCGACGATATCCTGGTCTACAGTCGTACCCTTGAGGAGCATCTCAGACACCTCCGCGATGTCCTTGACCGCTTGCGCAGACATGGCTTCCATGCCAAGCTGAGCAAGTGCCGCTTTGCCCAACACAAAGTGGATTTCTTAGGACGATACGTGTCTGACCAGGGTCTCCACATGGACGACGCGAAGATCATTGTTATTGCGGAGTGGCCCGTCCCCACATCCGCCAAGCAGTTTCGTAGCTTCCTAGGTCTGACCAGCTACTATAGTAATTTCATCCAGGGATACGCTAGGTATTCCTACGTCCTTACCTCCACCCTCCTCCGGAAGAACCCACCCTGGGCTTGGACACCCCTCCACGAGGACGCCTTCCGCGCCCTCAAGAAGGCGGTGACATGCACACTGGTTCTTCACCTACCCGATTTTGATCGCCTTTTTATCCTTACCACCGATGCGTCAGACTTTGCTGTAGGAGCAGTGCTTTCCCAAGTCTTCCCCTCCTCTCCTGATTCCTCTCATCCTCGTATCCCTCGCTTCCCACCACCTACCCCTACCACTGCTTCCCGACTGACGCCTACTCGTCCAGCTACTGACGAGCCTTCTATTGACTATTCTCCTACCATCGTCGAGGACGACATTGTCGAGTCTCGCTCAGGTGATTGTCTGATAGCCTTCTACCCCCGCCAGCTCCTCCCCGCAGAGATAAACTACACTGCTGATGAACGTGAGGTTCTCGCAGTAGTTTATGCCGCTCGGCACTGGCGTCACTACCTGCACGGGGCACCATTCACGGTGCGCACGGACAACTCTGTTGTCCAGGCTTTTCTGACAAATTCGAAGCTCACTCCTCGACAGGCTCGCTGGTGGCGCGACCTATCCGAGTTTAGTTTCACCACTGAGCACATCAAGGGTGAGACTAATCGGGTCGCAGATGCCTTATCCCGGTGCCTTGACCACGACCAGGAGCTGACTATCGCGACATCTCGGTCACCACTGTCCACCACTCGGTGATCGACGAGTTTCGCACTCAGTAACGTCACTGCCCCGACTATCGCGACATCCACACGACCCTTCGGAGTGGCAAGACCGTCCCGAACTACTCTCTCGGGGACAACGGTCTCGTGTACTGGCACGGTTCACAGGGCACCAGAGAGCCCCGTATTTGCGTTCCCTCCACTGGACAGCTACGTGTCCGAGCAGTAGCAGAGTTCCATGACCAGGCAGCCGCAGGTCATATGGGCTTCCACAAGACGTTGGCTCGTGTGAGCTGCCTGTACGTTTGGCCGAAGCGCAAGGACTTTGTGAAGGACATCTCGATGGACTTTATCGGTACCCTTCGTCCTCCGACCCCCCGCGGTCATGATGCTATCTTGGTCGTCGTCGACCGCTTCACGAAGTGTGCACGCTTTGTTCCGTGCCGTTATGCCATCAGTGCACGTGAGGTCGCCGACATCGTGTTTGACCGAGTTGTGCGTGACCACGGCTTACCACTGAGCATCATCTCTGACCGTGACCCACGCTTTACCAGCCGATTCCGGCGACGGCTCCATGAGGTGTACGACACTCAGCTCCGCTTCTCCTCATCTTACCATCATCAGACTGATGGTCAGACCGAGATCACGAACAGGACCCTCGAAGATATTCTCCGAAAGATTGTTCGTGACGACCAGCAGTGGGATCTCCATCTTGCCCACGCGGAGATAGCCTACAACCACGTCATCTCGCCAACCACGGGGATGTCGCCATACTATTGCGACCTCGGGTATCACCCTCGTGTTCCCGTGGACTTCCTTCGACCGTCACAGATGCACCCCGACATGAGTTGTCCCGCGCTGGATGATTGGGCTGCACACATGACGTCGATCATGAAGACCGCACATGAGCACATAGCCGCTTCCCAGACCCGCATGGCAGCACGTGTGGACCGATCGATGATGGATCATCATTCAAAGTCAGTAATGATGTGCTTATCGACGCCCGCCACTTACAACTCGAAGCGGACAGGCTTCGCAAGTTTCGGCGTCGCTTCTTTGGCCCATGCCGCATCCTCCAGGCCGTCGGTTCTGATACGGCTTCTAGCCCTATCAGCTTTCGTGTGAAGCTGCCCGACTACCTACGCCAGGCTCGTGTGCACGATGTCTACCACGTCTCGTTACTGCGCCCTTACCTCATACCGTCTGAGCATTTCGTTGGACGACCATACGAGCGCCCGCCACCCATCATGGTGGACGGCCACGAGGAGTTCCTCGTTGGTCGTTGAGTCACCGACGACAACCCCCCCCACGTCGAGTATTTCGTACGTTGGAAGGGTTACCCTAATGAGGAGGCTACCTGGGAGCCCCTCGAGCACTTGCAGCACGCTCGCATGTTGGTGCGTGCCTATGACCGTGCTCGTCGTGCTGAGTTCACTGCTCCTCCTCAACCCACTGACCCTCCTCCTTCTCCCCCGGCTGAGGAGACCGCTGAAGTCAAGCCTGCTCCATCTGAGGCAGACCTTCAGCAGCAGCCGGATGCTTCTGAGCGTCCACAGCGCACTCGTCGTCGTCCTGCTCGATACGACGATTGACTCTGACTTATCTTCCCACGTCTTTGACTTCTCAGTACTCCATCCACTCCAGTTTTGCTACTTCAGCTTGTCGACGTTGTGGCTCTTCCTCGACGACATTCCAAACTTCTCATCGTGGACGTCATCGAGAGATTCATGGACTTCGTCACGATCAGCTCTGCCTACTTCAGACGTCATCGCTCCCTTACCACTTTACCCTGTACAGTACCCTGCTTGTGTCGCATGATGGTCTCCCTTTAGCCGGGTTCCTCTGAGTTGGGCTCTCCCTTGGTTTACGCATAGGCATCGGGACCGTAGCGTTGCCCTGGCTTCCCATCTTACAGATCTAGCTCCGACTTCCCTCACTTTAGGAGTCATTTGCATGATTCGCTTACCCATCACCTTTCTACCCTTTGTCGGCCCTCACACCCTAGTTAGGCAGCCCCGCATGCTTCATCTAGGTGCGCCCAGTATACCAGGCTCTCTTATTCCCTTGCATGGTCGACCCTCCATAACGGTCACCCCTTAGTCAAGCTTTGCCCGCCCTGATGGTCTATCTGTTAGGGTCATTGGTTCTGTTCGCTCCCAGTTCCCTACCCTCATTGAGCCTGATGACATGTGTCTCTCTGTTATCTATGTGTGGATGCTCTTAGGAGTTTTCGACCCCTAGGCTGCATTCGCCACCCTCAGAGACCATCCCACCCTTTGGTTTGCGACACACTTCTCCTGTGACATATGGTTGACTTGTTGTTGCTTGTTGCTCCCAGAGTGAGGCTACTGCCTCTGACATTTCTAGGATTTAGTTGTTCTGCTTTTGCTGTTCTTAGGACTTATACACTAGTCAGCTGTTCCTAGATTGAGCCTACTGCCTCCAACACTCTCGGATCTAGTTGTCACTACTTTCTGCTTTCCTAGGACATGTATGCTAGTTAGTTGCTTCTGCTTTCCTAGGACATGTATGCTAGTCAGTTGCTTCTGCTTTCACTTAGGCTGTTAGTTGTGACATTGCTGTTTTGTAACATTTTCTATCCTAGGTTGCATCGCATGGACTGAGCATGGAGCTTGCTCCGCATCCTAAACTACTCAGGTTTTCCGCTTCTTCACGGAAGCGTGTTTGTGTCTAGGCGATCCATCACAGGTCGAGGATCGTGTAGCGGACCTCTGGTTGGCCTGTGAGACCAGCCTGTTGGTCTGTCCTCACAGGTCTGTGTTCTGTTCGGGGGCAGTCCAGTCCAGTCCAGTCCAGGCCGGTACCTCTGTCGGTACCAGCCAGTCCCGTCAGTCCGCTGGGGTATACCCCAGCAGTTGTTTGTTTCCGAGATCATTCTACACTTACACGATTTTGGAGTATGTGCGTTGGAGTCTTGCGTGGGAGCTGCGCTGTCCATCTTGCTCCCCCCTTCTTCCTCCATCTCCATCCCTATCACTAGCGGAGCACCACACCTGGTGGGTCCGCTACACAGTAAGTCCAAAATTCCTTCACTAAGGTTTGGCAAGAGGATAGCTTAAGAAGCGAGTTATTGAACTTGTAAAAACCCGGGCCTCTCTGGATGTGTTTGTGGAAGGAGAGTCCAATAGCGATCATTTTATGATCAAAGGATTTGCAGGGGCTAATTGGGAGTATTTCAGTCGCTGAGAGGAGGCCGATGAGGTCAATTGAGAGTAGACCTACATCTATTCCTGAGTTTCAAAGGCCCCCCTCTCCTTTAGATCGTAGATATGTGTACGCTTTTTATGTTGGATTGATTATTCTAAACGTGCCTTTCAACTGGAGTTATGCCTTTAGTTGGGATAACAAAAGGGCATCAGGACTTGGCTGGCTGTGGGGCATGAAACTCGACTGTGAAGACAATTTCTTGTCCATTGTTGGCTGCAGGGTGGTATTGAAGTCCCCTAACGGGATCAGCGGAGCATCTTGTGGGAGCTCGTCCGGAAGATCCAGAGGAACTCCAATCTCTGAGCCTGCTCACAAGCGGCATAGATGGAGACAATATAGCTTATATCTTCCCTTGCCCGAGCTTTGAGCCAAATCCACCTACCCTGAATTTTGTCCCAGTCGGACTGTAACGGCTCTAGCCTTGAGGAGGGTGGGAGCCAAATGGCTACTCCTATGGAGGTTGATGATCTGGCCGGAGCCAATGGACGGCTTATGGCCAGATCGATTCCCCTTTGGCCTTATGGATGGGTAACCTGTCAAGTGAGTCCCTTGGATACATATGACATCTGGCCATCTTCCGGTGGAGGGGTGTCTGGCCATATTCCAGACTGCATCATTTTTGGCTTGAGTCGCGGTACTCAGTCCATTGACGTTCAGTGAGCGTATATCAATGTCTGCCTAGCTCAGCCTTTTCTCCCAGGGTGAAGGTCTCCGCAAGGGGGGTGGGACATGTGGGGAAGGGGGGGGGGAACTGGTGGTGGTGGGCGGGGGGGGGGGGGTTGTGGTGGTGTCGGGTCAGGGCAGAGCGCAAGGGGGTTCCCTTTGGTGGCTGGCGTCCCTGAGCTGGCTGGCATGGGCCTGTTATGTGCACTGTGGTTAAAGTCTTCCATCGGCAGGCTTATTGCTTAATGGACTGTTCCAATGGGAGAAGGAAAGGTACATCGTCCCATTCGTTGTGAGCTCCCAGGAAGTCCTCTTCTAGGATGATTTGGATAAATTTGAGAATTTGTGTTGCGGTCCAAGTGGCGTTTGTTTCAATCCTTGCCTTTGTTGTGTGCAATAATTGTTCCTGTGTTAGCCAAGTCAAGGAGCTGTTAATGCTGTTCTGGTCAGGATCAAAGAGAAGTAAGATGGGGGTGAGGTTTGTGGGGAATGGCACGTCTTTGGGAAGTACAATTCCCAAGACTCTGTTGTCCCCTTTCTCTTTGACCAGGGTTTCTGTTCTATTTACTGCCATTGTAGTGGTCGGGATGGCCCTCCATCCCTCCAAGGTGAGGCCTTGAAGGCTTGAGTAGCCCGTCGATGAATCTGCTTGATAGTCCTCAAATTTGCCTGTTTGGGAGCACATGCCCAATTGCCACTTTCCATTTGAAGAGGACCTTTTGACTGGCAGAATCGAAGTCCCTGTGGCCAGCTGCCTGTTCAAGTGCACTGCTCCAGAAGAGGATAGCAGATTGCATAATTTGCCCCTCGTTTTGCAGTGAGTGTTCTCCTCAGTTGTTTGTGAGGGTTGCTGGCTGTCCTTGCCGCTTGTTGTGTCCTCAGAGAAGTCTATGACCACTATATCTGGGACTAAGGGAGGGGCAGTGGGCACCCTGTCCACAGGGAGCGTTGCTGCAAGGAGTTTCTGGGCTAAGAGTTCGTGTGGATTCTCCTGCCCCCTTCCATTCAGTTGGAGCATTTTTTGCGCACACGGCAACGCCGATTGATGGGTTGGCTGGTGGCGATGGATTACCGGGAGGTCTGCCATGGGGTATTCCTGGTCTGAGTCGTAATCTGAGTCCGGGTCCAGATCAGGTTCTGGTATGGCTTCCACCAGCTGTCCCAGTTGACAGTGAACGTCTTGGGAGGACATGAGTGTTGTGAAGGACCTTGTCTGAAGCTGCAGGGAGTCGTTTGCCTGTGTGACTCTTTGCCTACGAGTGGTTCCGTCTGTGGGTTCGGCGAAAGTGCGAGAAGCTGTAGTTCTTGCACCAGCTTCGCTGGCCAGGAGATGCTTCAGAAGCAAAAATCTTCGTTCATCCACTGAGGGTCATCCTGCTGGCCCTTGTTTGCCTCCTGGTTTCACTGGATTTGTCGGGTGTCCATTGTATATGTGGATATAGCAGTTCTAAAAGCATCAATCGTGTAGATGAGCTCTCTGCCCATTTCCACCCAGTTGATCAAATCTGTCGTTGGGTAGTTTGAAGAATTAGTTTGATCCTATGACAGCGCATTAGTTGCTTTCTGATTTTTTCCCAATGCAGTGGAGGGATGGAGAGCTGGTCTTGTTTGTAGTTGTGGAATAGCATCTGGAGCAGGATCTCGTCGGTCAAAAAATTGAGTTTTTGTCTGACGGATCGGTCTACAACCTGTTGTTTACCTGCTTACAGTTTTGCCGTTGTGGGCTGGACTGCACACTCCTGAGCTTGGTGTGAGAGTTGGTGGGATTCGAAGCGGAGGACACCTTCCACCATCTTACCCTCTGTTGCCCCCATGGTCCCTTCAACCCCCATCTGAAAGTCCCCGTTTAGATCCTGGTCCGGTCCTGGGTCTATTACCATTTCCTGGGAGAGGAGATGCTGGGTGGGGTTGCCAGACTGTGTCTGCTGGGGATCTGTGGGTTGGTGAGCATTCGGCATGCAAAGAGTCAGAGGGAACTGATCTTGTTGCGGTGGTTCGTTTGGTGCAGGGAATCGGGCTGCTTTGGCCGAGTTGTAGGGGACACTGGGCTGGACCTTGCTGCTGTTGGGCCCCCAGTTTGGGGGTTTGGCAATAGTAGGCAGGCCAACGTGAGTTTGCCATTTAGCTGGCTTTCGGCCGTGTGACCAAAGGACTGCTTTTCATCAGTTGGCATTGTGGGAAGAGTCGGGACACTTACGTGATTGGGGTGGAGCACTGCGTCGGGATGATCTTGTCTTTCTCCCGTTGGGTCTTTTCCCTGCACTGTTAGCGGGACTGTTGCTGTTAGTCCGGCTATGCTCTGGAACCA